CATCACGCCGCTTCAATCCGGTATCAAAAGAGAGAATGTTATTCTCTTAGTGACGATATCGGCAGCTAGCAGTATGCTAGTGTAAACCCATAAAATCAGGTTCGTTTTTATGTACAACTCGTACATCTCTGCGACTTTCTGCGAATTTCACAAACTGACGTTGATTGTCTGTCGTTCTTGACGTGGTGATTCGCGCGTTTGTTAGTTCACAGCCAAAGCTGCTGAAAACCTGGAACTTCTCGACACGAGCTTCATGACGTTTCTGAAGCTCAGTATTAAAAACATCCAGGAATTAAAGTATTTCACTAAAAGTCATAATCATAATCAATTGCTCATCAAGGTCATATTAAAAGTCTTCGTCTTTCTTTGACTATGGCCCCCTCCCCACCTAATGCGGATTGTTTATGCTCGCAGTTACCTGGATTTCCTTTGTCGTTTTAGGATAAGGTGCGACAAGAATTAAGCAGCATGAGCAAATTTGGCGAGTCGAAATTCTTGAAAAACATGTGTCAGTACACCGGCAGACGGCGTGGTAAAGTTACGCGGTATCGAATGTCAAGACTTGTATTCAGAGAAAAGGCTGACCATGGAAAAGTATCCGGGGTGATTCGCGCCAAGTGGGGTTAACTGGTATGTTAACGTTGACGGTCGTGTAGATTTGCCAAGTTTTTCGTTTCTGAAAATAAATGATATGGAGAAGTTTGGATGAGGCTGTTTCGAATCTTCGATTTGCGATACGTATGATTTGTTTTCATTTTCTTCCAGCTTTGTTCGATTCCTTTATGCTGCGACTGTTTGAAGTATTCAGTAATGTTACTGTTGTTATTTGTACCTACTTTGAGGATGCTGAGCGGTCATGATTACACCTGTAAATGGTTTCTTTGACATTCGAATAAAACTTTAACTGCCGCTTTATTGACGCTCTTTGCAATATATCCCATTAGTTTACTTCTAGACTAACTTAATGCTAGCTGACTTTTAGTGCGTTTATCAAATCCAGCCTCGTTCTTCCCGATGATATGCAATGAACAAAGTATGAAATCTTACGACAGAATGAAGTCCGGTATGTTTTACTTAATGATGGAAATTTTGAAAAACTTTGTCAACGACCCGCTTACTAAGCAGTAGCAGTTAAGGACCGGTAGACCTCTCTGTCTTGAAAATAAATCCGTTTAGAAGAGGATACTCTGACTAGAAATCCTTTAAAATGTTTGAAGGCTATCTTGCGTATTATTTTTTGAAAGTAGTATTGTGTATGCGTTAGAATGCTGAGAATGTATTAAACATCTTTCGAATTCAAACTACATGGCCAATTCTATTATTGTTTCATCCAGTGTAGGAGCATTTAAACAGACAATAGCTGTATGACATGTTTGGCTCATCGGTGGATGTCGCATTATAGTGCCGTGTGACTCGCTTTGGTTGAATTGCGTCCATTGACATGTTCCTGGCATTTACAGCAACTTTATGATGGCACTGACAAATGCAGCTCTACGAATGCCATCAGTAACGGCACACGGCTAGCGAACAAAATGATCCGAGATATGTATTTGAACTGCAAGTGTTAAAATCTGCTTCAGTGGTCCTTGAACATTTAGGAGTAGTGAGGCGCTGTAAGAAGAGAATGATACCAGTTTAATTTTGCTTATCAAAAACATTTTAATCATTTCATTTGTACAGTGCGCATGAGGTGACGACTCGTGAGTTAGAAAAACTTAGAATCTGGACGGCATTGAAGAAATGACATCAGGAAATTGAGAGGAAAAAGCAAAATGGAGATTATCATTCGTGCAACTTAATGAATCAAATACCCGGGAAGTGCAAAATTTTAGTTCTGCTTCTAGTTCTTTGTCTTCTTCCCCTTCTGTTTCTTCTTCCTCTTCTAATTCTTCTTGCTCTTCTTGTTCTTGTTGCTCTTCTTCATCTTTTCCTTCTTCCTGTTCTTTTTGTTCTTCTTCTGCTCCTCTTAGTTCTTCTTCTTGCTGTTCTTGTTCTTATTCTAGCTCTTCATATTTTTCTTATTGCTCCAGTTCTTCTTCTAGTTCTTTTTCTTCCTCTTCTTGCAAAATGTAATCTGAAATTTGTCGCTATATCATTTTCGCTGGAAGGCGTTGCAGCAACCTCTCTCATGCCCAAGTAAACTACGTCTGTCGTCGTAAAGAATTTCTTTCGAATAGCTTTAATATCGGCTCCTTTTAAGCACATGGAAATTTTTTTTGCCACCACAAATTATGAAACTAGTAGTATTATTAGCTGAACTTTGCCAGATGGCTTACTAAGAATACAGAGACTGTGTTGATGATGCCTTTTAACATTTGACAGATGCTGTTACTGAAGGTTTTAACAAAAGCGGTTTATAACCTGTTACTTATTTCTGAACTGCAGCAGCGTGTTTAACTCCTTTAGGCACTAAACTTTGGGCAATTCAATGTCCTGTTGGTACTGATCCAGGTACGTTTTACTTCGTTAATCAACTCTCGTTTTTGAGAGAGAGCGAAGATGATGCAAAGTGTCGGCATGCCCAAGGCCAATTTACAGATAGACGGCACAGACTTAGAAGAAGTCAACAGCTTTGTCTATTTGGGCCAAGAATTGAATATACGCCATGACCTCCTACCAG